TCACCTGGAGTTGACTTGTGTTCATAGGAGCTTATATGTTGGCAGACTGTTGGAGGGTGGGTTACCATGACCATGTTCTCTGTCACTTAGGCCTGGAGGTAAGCCTTCAGTGCTCACTTGGGAATTTATATTTAGTAGGCATGGGCCTCTGGATTTCTCCTGTCATGTTCAATTTACAAATCCTAGCATACAGCTTCATCATTTTGCATGACAAGGTAAGTCAGGAGTCAAAGCATACACCACTGTCATGAAAAGTATTATGTGAACAACAATAATATCTTAACATTGAGCAAGCTGGGATTATAGGTGTGTGTATAATGCCTGACTTGGTAACTCTTCTTGAAAGGCCTGCCTCCTTCTGTTTTCCTTCTACTGAGTAGCACTGTGCAGAAAGTATCACAAAATTAACCCCAACCTGGGTGACTGTGACCCTGTCAAAGAAAGAAAGAAAGAGAAAGAAAGAAGAGAGAAAAAGATACAGAAAGGGGGAAAGAAGGAAAAGAAAAAGGGAGAGAGAGAGAAAGAAAAAGAGAAGAGGAAAAGTAAAAGAGAGAAAAGGAGAAGAGAGGAGAAAGAAAGACAAAGGACAGGAATGGAAATGTAGCTCAGTAATCTCTGGTACTACAAGAAAGAAAAAAATATAAGAAAAATATACTATTTTTTCCTCCATTGCAATAGTCATTATTTTCTACTTAGGTCCTAATCAAAGAATGAGAGGAAAGTACAAATAGAATTGGTAGGTTAAAGTAAATTTCTTTAATTTAAATATCAATTAAAATTGAGAAAGGCCAGAAGCAAATGTATAACCAGGTAGTGAAAAAAAGACATAATTAAGAGTGAAATCACCAAAGAAGAATTTGTAAGAATATTTTTCATCCTGAAAAAGAGCCATGACCCCAAGAATTTAAACTTTTTGATAACTTCTGAATGCCACCAATTGATGACTAGATATGCCTCATACTATAAAGTTTAACATATTTCTATAGTGTAATTTCCAAGACATAGAAAGAGTTGGTGTTTGGACATATCTCCTTTGATATGAATCTATTTGGCATTGGTATTCATGGCATGCAATACAAATATGTCATCAGAGCTTCCAAGCCTCCAATGATTATTAAAAATAGATTTTACACACCATGTTATTCATTGAGCTTTCATCTTTTGAAAGATGTAGTACTCCAAATTTCATATAGAACTAAAGGAGAATATTTGTAAAAACTAGATATCTAACTGCCATGAGAAAATAACATTATTTCAATTTGCAAGAAAATGAACATAGAGGAAATCCAGAAATCTTAGAAAGTTCTTGTCTGAACATCCAGGCAGTGTTCTAGTTTCACACACCAATGAGGAATTCACACTTTTCTTATTTCTTATTTAATCTAACTTTGTGTAATTCTTTCTTATTCTTCCTGCTAAGATTTTTTGTTTGTTTGGTTGTTTGTTTTTTGAGACAGGGTTTCACTATGTAGTTGAGACTGACCTGGAACTCACTGTGTACCCCAGGATGGTCTCAAACTCACAGTGGTCCTACTGCCTCAGCCTCCCGAGTGCTGGGATTTCATGTGGGTGCCACTATGCCCGGCAACCTGCTAAGTTTTGTATATACATCCTCCTCAATAAATGAGAAGTGTGGATTCTACTCCTCCACTACTAATTAACTGCCTGATTTTGGGTAGGTTTCAATATCTGTAGATTTAACATCTTAATATGGGAAAAAGGACTGAACTATCCTACCTTTAATAAGCCTCATGGATTTAAGTATTTTTGAAACTCATCAAAATTTTCCTTTTTTAAATTTTATGCTTAGTTCTGGTGCTCAATTGCATGGAGTTTTGCATGTTTTTTACTTGTTCACTTAAAATCAAGATGCAATACCTCCTCCCCAACTATTTATCATATTGTAAACATTTCATATTGCATATTTGTCTGTTACTATCAGTGTGTCAGTCAAAACAAAACAAGCTGAAGAGTGGCATTTTTGCAACCCAGAGAGAAGAGTCCACAGCACTCTCTGTCTTCCAGACACTCCCTACCTGTCTTCAGTCCTTATCAGGGAGATGAGTAAATGGCTCAGGTTACCCATACAAATAATTTAGTAGCTTGTCTGTCTAGATGGTAATGGCACAGCATTCACAATTCCTGCAATTTTGATAGTGTAATAAAATCGGACATGAGACATTCCCAAAGTGTAACCCAGACTATCCCGTTGTTAAGAGTAATGTTATCCTAGCCTCCAGCTCACAGAAAAGCTGTGGTTGGTATCCCTCATCCATGCTTGTTCTCTCCCTCTCTCTCTCTCTCTCTCTTAAGCTACTTGGTTCTGAGAAGCAAATTTATTACTTTTAAACTAATTGCCTGGTACATACTCCAAATTAAATGAAAACCGTTGGCTTTGGAATTCAATGATTTGGAACTTTATTAAAATTTCCACTTCCTATTGATTCATCTCTTTTCAATAAATCCAATTTTTTTTTACAATGTTCACGTGATGTACATCTTGAAATGTGTTATTACACCTACCTCAAGCAGTAGAAAATAAGGCAGAGGGAGATAAACAAATTGCCATACTTTGCATACTTATATGGAAGACAAGAATAAGAAGGTTTGCAGAGAATAAGTATGACCAATATTTCTCCAGTTCATTCTCAATATAATTCTTGATATTTACCCCTACCAACAAAATTCTGTCCCCCTCTTTGGACTTACATGATGCGTCTGAGGCCCACTAATAAGAAGAAAAAAATCTTTATTTTATTTGACTTAGAGAATATATTGAGGCATATAGAAATAGAGTTACCATTTTTTAACACGATTGCCATTGTAATAATAGTGAGAACCTGTCTTCTGTCTGAACAACATTTTTATACTCATCTATCCACTTATCCCCATCCACTCATCTTCCCATCACCACCTGCATCCACGAATTCATCTATTAATTGTCCATGTTTTCTTTGTGTTTTCCCTGTGAAGGCACTCTTCAAAGAACTGGTAGGAATTGCCTGTAAGGAGTGTCTAGGATGTCTGCTCAAGGCAGTTTTAGGTAGTACTAACACAGCTTATTTTCACTTTGTTAGAAGCTCCCCAAAGTAGAGAAGAGAACATTTTCCAAGGCATTAAAAACAGGGAGAATTCCAGCTTTCACGCTTAGATCATAAAAACTAGACACTTAAACTTGATTTTTCTTTACCACTGAATCTTACACTTGCAATCAATATAATCATGTGACAAATAGGATATTCATACCCATTCTTGCTATTAAAACTACACAGTAACATTTTAAATGATGAACTCTTTTACTTTCAATTTCTTTCTCTTTTTTTCCCTTTGAATGTGAATTAAAATTTAAAGGGAAAGCACTTATCTCCCAAGTCTCTTATTTTTAACATTTAAAAGATTCTAAGCTAAATTTACATTTTGCAGCTTTTGATTTCATTAATCAGTCTTTGTGAGAAGCATTCATTACATCAATCTGAAGAAAATATGTAAAATAATAAACTCAAATATATTTCAACCCATAAATTTTTGAGAGCATACAGAATCATTTCAATTTAACTTTCAGATAAGATTTACTGATGGGGACTTGGTCATCACATGTTCTTGAAGTCATTGATTGCATTTGTCTCAAGGGATTTGTATAAGCCTCTGAAAGTAAAGAACATCTCTCAGATTAATCTATCATCAGTGGTAGATATTTAAATGTCCAATAAGCAGAACATGAAACTATAAATCTTGGTGTGCTTATCTAGGAATCTAAATGTGTTTATAGTCACTTTTATGGAACAGAACTCCAGTGTTTATCGTCTCCATCTCTTCATCATCTTCTCTGGCAACCCACAAACTCAAGTATGCTGCCAAGTGACTCTGACTCACTGTCCTAATAGTTTTTTTTTTTTCATTTCACCCCTAGATTAACTCTTTTACCACTGTTGTTACATTATGCAAGGATGTCCTGCTTTGTACTTTTTCTGCAGTAATAGGGTTACAAATATTGTCTATAGTCATGGAAATTCCATTCTACTAGATGTTTTAAGTCAATAAAACTTCCTTAAGTTACTACCCCTTACATGATATGTCTTTTATTTCTCAAATACGCATCCTTATTTCTATGTGAAATGGTTATTCTTGTGAAATTCTTAAGTAAGTTTCATAATCATTCACATACAAACATTCCTAATGCTTAACAATATACGGGTATTTGGAGGTATTAAATACGTTATCATAGAAATTTATATTTTGCCATGTAGATATAGAAAAAATAATTTTCTATTTTTGTCACTAAAAAGAAGACTCAGTAGTGATAAACAGGATTCTGAGTTATATTCATTAGTTATTAATTCTAAAAGCATCTATTAAATTTTCATTTGGAAAAGGAATATATCAAGTGCCTCTATATTTTTTCTAAAAATAATACAGATTTCTTGTATAGTGAGTGACAAGTACATGCATGATGTGAAACAACAAAATCATAATGTAGAAAAATGCTGAAAAATATGATATACAGATAAATGGAAAATATAACACAGTCCTGAGGAGGATTAAAAATAAGGAATACACATCAATGAAAAATGTAGCCTATCCATGATCTGGAATCCACATACCTACCTGGAAAACAACTTCGTTGAAAGGAAAAAAAGAAATAGGTCTCTGGTAATTGGGAGGGAGCTAACAGGAACTAGAAACTATAGAAAAACTGAAGAAACACAGCACAATGCAGAGAAGAGAATGAAGCGGTCTGGAAAATGGTTGCGCTAACACAAGACAAACCCAGAGAATGTCTGTGTTAGATTTCCCTTGACTCAAGATGGATGCTACATAAAACAGTAGCCTCCTTCCTATACTGCTCTGCGCCTTAAGATGTCTGCCACATAAAATAGCAGCCTCCATGTTAAATATGGCTCCTCCTACCAAAGGGCAGCCTTCTTCCTCCCATCATGCCTCTTTTCCCACCAAAAGAGCAACCTGATACTTGCTACCACCTAGTTACCAGTGATGTCACAAGCCCTGCCCGGTGATGTAATAGGCTCCTCCAATCCCGTAATGCTACCTCACTCAACTCCAGCCCAGCTCAGGTTAACCCCCACCCCTCTCCTATAAAAGAAGCTCCCTGTTGCGCCATGCTGCTTTTCCTTTGTTAAGAGACATCGCAGTTCGTGCTCCCTATTTCAAAGGATTGTTGTAGTCCTGGTCTGGTCCTGGTTTTTCAGCTCTTGTGCAACCATCTGGAGCTCCAGGGAGAAATCATCAGCCAGCAGCTCTAGCTTCAAGAAAAGCCTACAGGTATTGTAAACTGCAAAAGGAGAGTGAGATTTTATTCTGAAAGTGATTTCTTCTATGTGGAAGGCTAGACTTGGAGAAGAAATGTAAAGTAGTACTCACAGTAATTCAGTGTTTAATCAGAAGCCACAATACAACTATACTTTAGGGTTTCGGGGATCACTCTAGCACTGCTGGAAACCCCTCTAGTCAAGTTCTAATACCCACCTGTCCAGTATGTGATGCAGACCTGAGAAAACAATACACTAAGATACATAACTAGTAGAGAAAGCAGGGTATCAGGCTGACCAATGCCTGTGTAATGAACAAAGGTGCTAGCCAGTCCCAGGCAATGACTTTGATAGGCATTCAATTGGGGTAAAGGTGACCGAAGTGTGGCTTTCTATGGAAATTAATGTAAATAAGGCTCATAAAGGATAAGACAAAGCATTCTGTCCTTAAGAGTCTGAGGGCTTTAGTTATGGGAATGGAATTTGGGTTTGAGTTACTCCCGACCTGGCACATAGGCTTCAGCTGGCCAGACTCCCTTCTGTAAACAAGCCAATTGTGGGATTAACTCTTCACAGCCGCTTAGGGTATAATTAATATTAGGGTCCTTTATATACCTCAGTAACCAGATAAGAGATAACCATGACAAACAGTGATAGAGAGATCATGGCCTAAACATAGATCTTCCCACAACCCAAGAAATTTCAACTCAGGCCTGAAAAGAGATGGGAATCTCACCCTCCTACTTCAGAATTTAGTAAGGTCAGTAATGTGTGGGTTTTGGAGGGGGCTGGCTCTGAAAGTGGGAGCAATGAGTCCCCAAACTGCTTGACTTTCTTCCTCCTCCTGCTGCCTGAATCCACAACAGAACTCCGGCCTGTTTGCTTTCCCCATCTGCCAGCATTATCAGGGATGTGCCTTAGCTTGCATGGTTGCCACAGCCTCAGATATATGGACAGAGGGGCCTCTGGAGAAGAAGGAGCACCTCATAAACCCTTAGGCTATAAAACTAGGGGAAAAAAATATGACTTGCATGCACAGAGGAATAAGCAAACTGCACTGCAAAGTGCAAGAGTGAAAATAACCTTAGGGTGGGCACCATGACCCACCATACCTAGCAGGAAGGACAGGGTTGGATTCACCATTCACATGCAAAAAAACATGACTGTGGAAATAAAGTAGGTCTTAGTCCTTTGTAGGGGATAGAAATTTGTCAGCAGAAGTACAATTGGCCAATAAACATAAAGAAATGTAAGACATCTCTGGACATTAGAAAAATGCAAATAAAACAACACTGATTCCATTTTATTCCAGGAAAAATGGCTATTATTAAGAAATCAAGTGATTAAAAAAAAGAAATCAAGTGGTAACAAATGCTGGTGAGGCTATGCATAAAAAGGAAGCCTTCTATATTGTTAGTGCAAATGTAAACCATACACTCACTGTGGAAATCAATATGGAAATTCCTCAAAAATTAAAATTAAAAATTCTGTTTGTCTCAGCTACAATCCTTCTAGATATATTCTCTAAAGAGTTACAGTCATCATATTACAGTGATATATGCATACCAATGTCTGTATAACACAATTCTTAATAGTTAAATCTTGGAAGCAGCCTATATATCCATCAGCTGATGAATGGATAAAAATCTATATTTATATTAAGTGGAGTACTATGTTGTAAAGAAGAATACATTGGAATTATTTGTTGGAAATGGAAACCATAAGTTTAAGTGAAGTAAGTCAGACACACAGGCTTAAATATTCTAGTTTCTTTTATATTGAGAACCACAAAGTATAAATAAAATAAAGAATGAGATAAAAGATGGTTAATAAAAAACATAGAGATATATCTTTTGGAAAATGGGAAGCAAAGAGATGAAAGGAAGGGTGAGGGAGAGGAGAAGGGAAGGTAAAGAATAAAGATGTGTTACACACATTTACCCAACTCACCACAATGAATGTAGTCACTCTATATTGCAAAAAATATACTATTAAAGAGAATAATAAAATTTGGAGCTATTTGCCTAATTTCTAAGTATTATGTAAGCCTTGGATAAGCCTTCTAACCTCTGAAGGAGGTTTGCTCTTTTAATTTCTAAAATGAGCAAAATGACTAGATCTGTCATACCCTCTTTTCTTCAGAGTTCTGTAGGCTATAGAAACTTAACGCTTGTGGCTCCAGAAAAAATAAATTGTTTTTAAGCTGATGAGTGAAAATAGCCTCAAGATATAATAGAACTTGAGGTTTCCTTACTCATGTGAACTCTTCCTAAGACCATTTTTCTATGTTTATTATCCAAGACATTTTCCATAGGCACAATTAGTAACTTTCCCTTTTACTCCAAAAAAATCCACTTTGGATAATAAATTATTTTATCATCCTACTTTGGAAGAGACGAATTTCATTGCCTTAGATTTGATGCCCGCTCTGTGTTAGTTACTATATTCAAAAGAATAATATATAGTAATCAGCCATATCTGGATTATATACTAATAACTGAGGCCAGAGAGTTGGGATCTCAGAAACCGAGGCCTTAGAAAGTAACAAGAGTGGTTTCTATGAGACCAGCAGTGTAATGATATATTTATTGTGAATAGATAAAGCACACAATTGTCCACTATGTTATAACAGAATTCAAGATCTGTGGAACAGACAAGGAACGTGGAACAGATGTGCATTCTGCATTGGCTGGGACTTTATAACATCTAATATTACGCACCATAGCTTTATCTGAAAACTGGAGACAATCATCACTTTCAGTGAATAAGTCAACTCAGTCAATTATGCATATATATTCATATATGTGTATATCCTGTAATGTTTTAAGTGTGTATATAAATATATATGTAATATATATATATAAATATATATGTATTTTATATAGACACACAGCCTTAACTTCACTTAATGACAATACCAAACTAGTTATTAATAAATGAAAGCAGAATCATTATTATGTTTGAATTTGTGACTAAAATTACTTTTTTTGCTTAAATAAAAATTCTAGGCTATTTTTAAAAATCCATTGACATAAGCTGATTTCAGAATATAAATAGCATGCATATATTTTGCTTTCCTCGACAGATCTGTTCTTAGTAGTTTCACAGTAGGACAATTTTCAGAAAGTCAAGATCTTTCTTAAAGTGATTATTCATTATGATAGAATTGCAAATGGCAACTTAATGAATAGATGTGCTAATGTCTGTTCTATATTTATATATATTAACTTAAATTTGGTCTTTAGCCTTAACATGTGCAATCACAAATAAAATATATAATTATCACTTTAAAATAATGTCCTGTTGGGCCGGGGATTTAGCTCAGTGGTTCCGCAGCCTGCCTCACAAACACAAGGACCTGAGTTCGATCCCCGGTACAAAAAAACAAAAACAAAAAAATAATGTCCTATCAGCTGTTTACATATATTTAGCATGTGAGTCACCAAATGTTTTCTATAATGATATAATTAAGTATATTATTGAAAAATGACAGTGGCTGAATTTTCTGTTAGGGGTTCTTTATGTTTAAGATTTTTCAATGGAGTGGCAAGAGATTTAATTATTTTCACTGAAAAAAATGATCTACTACCATCAAGAAACTACTAGCTAGTGAGGGGAAAACCTATATAAAGACCAAGCTCTGATTTCCAGAGTTTACAATCTGTAGCACAAATGAACTTGGACAATGTAATAAATGTGTACATATGACCAAATGTACCTACTATGTGATAATATTTGTAGCTTTAACTTGGCAGGTAATCTGTGGATAATAAGCTAATTATTACAAAGAGCTCTTCTGAGAATTGAAAAAAGGTAACTAATTTTACACAGAAAAAGTAATTGCCCAGGTATGTCTCTGGAGAGATCCATACGAATCTGGAAGGATCAGAAGGAATGATCCAGTCAACAATTGAACGTTTAGGGCAATATTAAGAAATGCCACAAGGTACAGAGTACAGTGTGGGAAACAGGCTTTTTTTTTTTTTTTTTTTTTTTTTTTTGGTACTGTGAATTGAACTCAGGGACCCATGCTTGCCAGGTAGGCCCTGCAGTGCTGAGCTATGTACCTAGTCCTTGCAACAGTTTTTTTAAATAAGCGTCTACTGGAATCTGTATGGAAGCTCTGAGATGTCATGTGGCAAATTACAGAGGATATTAAATGACAAATAATTTATTGTCTTGCTCATGTCTCACATATCCTAAAGGCCCGAGTTCACCCATGAAAATAGAATACTAAAGCAGAATCTGTTCTTCTGGAGACATGTACTTATGGTAGTTCTTTTAGATGGAAAACTATTTGCTAGTAGAGTTATCCCCTGAAATTAAAAGTTTCATGTGCTCAGAAGTGTGACTTTTTGAATGTGACTGGATCATAGGACACTATATGCTTATTAGTGAATTAATCCATCATTGAGTTCATAGCTAAATGTGCTATTAGAATGTGGGGCCTGTTTGGAACATGTGTCACTGAGGGTATGACTTGAAAGTATATTCTTATACCTTCCTGTTTCCTCCTTGCGTTGGGTTTAGCATTTCTGCCATGGCGGTCAACAGGGACTGAACCCTCTGAGACTGTGAGCTGAAATAAGCCTTTTCTCCTTTAAATTGAGCATGTCAGATATTTGGTCCCTATGATGTGAAGTGACTAATACAGCTTTTCTTTGCTCTTCCATTTCTTTCCTTCCTTCTGACAATACACTCAGCTTTCTTAAATATATAATGTTTCACCAAGGTTTTGTATATGAGTGAGCCCCAAACCAAGTGTGGATCTGTGTATGCTTGTAGATGTGTGATGAGGTGTCAAGTTGGTAAATCCCCAGAGCCTCTGGACTGCTAACAGTGTCTTTTGCCCAGTGAGGTTAAAAACTTTTGGATCAAAAGGATTTTTTTCATCTGTTATCTCCACAGAGCTTATGCCTTCAACCTGGAAGATCAGAAGGAAAGACTAAATCACCATATTCTTTTCCCTAGCTACCTTTCTTCTTCACCTTGTTTTGTGTACTGACAAAGCCTTTGTGTTCTCACCAGGGCTCAACTGGTAAGAGGCTTTGGGATCACACATTTCTATCACTGTTTCTCTGTGTTTGGTTCTATTTTGCAATGTTTTAATGGAATTTTTGCCTATTTTACATCTTCTGTAACATCTGTAAGTACCCCAACCACTGTCACTACCTGTACTTAAGCTCATAGTGTTTCTCCTTTGAAACTGTGTGTCCTTCACAGCACCCCCCATCTGGCTTCAGTGTTCTAAGTTACCCTTCATTTGTGATACAAGGTGTAGGCAGAGCTTTTAAAGTGCTGATTCTATGCTAATTATATCATTGCCTTTCTTATAATGCCTCAATTGCTTGCCATTATTAAGAATAAAATTAATTTTTTCCAAAGGCAAACAAGTATTTTATAATCTCACAGTTATCAACATCCTGAGGCTCACTTTAAATCCTTTTCTACTTATCTTCACCTTCTTCTTATTTTCCAATTTATTTGAAATGTAACCACAGAGACCTTTTCCACATCTTTCACTATGCAATTTTTTCTGTCAAAGCTCTTTCCACCCTTCTCTGCTTGACTCTGGCTTTTCCTTTGATTCTTATCCTAGTTTTCATTCCCAATGGAAGGCCTCCCTTGACCTACTAGTTTTCTTGGTTAGGCAACCATTGCATATACAGCATTGACTGTCAGGCTATTTATTTTCTTATGTTTCTGCCCCACAAAACTGCCAACTCTTTGAGGAAGAGTGGCACCCTTTTCATCTTTCCAATCTAGTGCAAAGGCTGAGACATATAGATTCATTGTATTCTTTATACTAAGATGATATTCAGAGTGTTTGTCTTGTAAATTAAAGACATCTCATTTCTTCCAGCAAAAAGCTGGAATGTGGGGATGGAACCCAGGGTCTTATGCATGCTAAGTATGTTCTCTGTCACTGAGCTACACTCCTAGCATTTCATTTCTCTCAAATACACTTTTCTAAATACATTCATTCCCTGGGTTATTTTTCCATGTAGTCTAGAAACTAATCTGAAAAATATAATTTTCTCTTTTCTTCAAAAGAAACATACATTCTTAAAACTTGCAGTCATTGGACTTTATCAAACAATTAGCATCTTTGCGACTATCCATTGAAATATAACAGGTATTTGGGTAACTAAAATAGACATTCTACTAAGGACTGAGGATTTAGGAATAAGAGAGATGTCTCTAATCACACATAATCATCTCATATATTATTTGCTCTTCTTATTCGCCCTCCTCCTTAAAGAAGATTCGCTTTCAACATAAACATTTTTATGTATTTCTACTGTATTTTGCTCAAGGAACATATTTATTAAGCATATACTATAAGCCACGCAGTGTTGTATGTTCAGGATTGTGGAACTCAAATATAAAATTATAAAATCTAATCATGTCCATTTTTTTCATTTTCTCATTTTTTTTCTTTTCCCTTATTCCCTTCCCCTACCCTTCCACTTCCCCTACACCTTTAGCTTCTTTCTTCCTATTTCACATTGTCAATTAAACCATTAGGACCTTATGTACAATTATAGTTTTTCACACCAGAAAAACTATTTAGTATTACACATGGTGACTTATTTATTTCACTTAAGAGTATGGAAGGAGGGGGTGAAGGGAGGGCAAGGGTAAGGGGAAAAAATGAGAACCAAGACCTGTCATGTAAAGGTACAAAAGATCCCAATGATGAATGTAACTGTACTGTATACCTAAAATGTACCAATGAACTCAGAAAAAAATCTAATTATGTCTTTAAGCTTTAAATTTATGATTATCAGTTCTTTATTTGCTTTTCTGCATCAGAGCATAAACTTTGGAAGAGTAGATATTTTATTTATCATTCATGTATCATAAGTTTACTACTGAGTACAGAATGCTGTGTAAAAGGTATTCAGTTCTGTTTCAGAAGTTAAATATTTATATAGAAAACAGCATGAGAAAAAAAATTTCAAAAACACTCAGTAAGAAGTCAGTATCGTAACAAATTTACAGATGTGTGTGCACAATGTGAGAAGAGTCTCAGTCTTTCCCTGGGGCTATAGAGTCGATGAGTGGCTGAACTTACCCTGGAGCCTGTCACAGGCAGTGTGGGACACATACAACTATCCATACTGCAAGAAAAATATGTTTTCTTCCATTTCTTTGCAACTATACTCACTTAACAAGAAACCTAACAAAAGTGTACTGTCTCCCTTTTCATACATTCATTCATCTGTGGATTCATCGAAAGACTTGTTGAGCATCACTTCTTGCCTGAGACTCTTCTAGCACTGGACACAAATTAGTGAACAAAACACAAGAAACATCTCAAGGTCTTCTTTATAATCAAGGGAAAGAGAAAACAATAAAAATAAATAGGTAAGCTGTTCAGTATGTTAGATAGTGATAAGTACCACAAGAATAAAAATTAAATAGAAGGTTAGTTGCCAAAGGAGTCTGCATTTAGGGCAAATATTTTAGATGAGTTTCCAGAGAGGAAAGCACTCTAGATCAAAGAAATAGGTAAAAGTCCCCTGAGGCAGGTGCTTGCCTTAAGAATTCAAACTCTAGCAAGGAGGCCAGTGTGGCAGAGTTGAGTGAATGGTGGTGAAAAAAGAAGATAAAGTCAAAGAAAGAATACAATGCCGAGTCTATAGGGAATTTATAGGTCACTGGTAAGACTAACACTTTACTCTGTTAAAATTTTTACACTCTCTCTGAATGAGAAGCCATTCATGGCATTCACAAAGGAGAGTGAATGGCTGGACTTAAATTTCCAAAGGACTACCTAGCTGCCGTGTTAAAAGTGATGGGGAGGGGAGGAGAGAGTGAAAGAGGAGGGCAGGGACAAGGGGAAAAATGAGAACCAAGACTTGTCATCTTGTCATGTAAAGGTACAAGATCCCAATGATGAATGTAACTGTACTATATACCTAAAATGTACCAATAAACTCAATGAGGAAAAAAAAAGTGATGGGAGTATAGGTTGGAAATAAAGAGTCCAGTGGAGGATATTGGAATAATATTGTAATGATTACAATCCCAGAAAATGTGATAGCACAGGAAGTGAGAGTGGTCATATTTTGGATTTATTTTGATGATCCAAACATAGTTATTTCATGATGCATGAGAAATGTAATATGACAGAAAGGTGAATAATTATTTTGCCATGAATAACTAGAAGAATGAAGCTTCCTGAAATTGACATAGAAAAAATAATAAGCAAATTTGAAGGGAAAAGATAAAGAGTTGTATTTTGGAAACGGGGAGATTGATATGTTTTAGACTCAGGAGGGAAGCTGTTGTGGAGACCAGTAACTAAGTGTGTACAGAAACCAAAGGAAATGTCCAGGATAGCAATAGAATGGATATACTGTTAGTTCATACAGTCAAAAGAAAGTTGCCCTAAAAATATGACCTATGCTTTCTAGATGTAATATAGTGGTAGAACGTGGTACATGTGTGAAAATAATTGGCAAGCTATGCAAAGCAATGCATGTAATAGTTTACTAAGTGAGTGACTAAATGAATATGGAGAAAAAAGATGCCATGATACTTCATAGTAAGATGATATTATCTCAAGGAAAAATCCAGAGAGAAAAAAGCATTTGAAGTAGCCTTGAAGCGTGTGTTGAATTTCAATCATTACAGAGGACAATGAAAATTTTCAAGGTGCAGAAGGTGATGAGAACAACTCAAAACTCTTGAAATACAGATCAGATCTTTTTCTCTGACTCAAAATGTGTATGAAAGCCACAGTGTAGATTATTGAGGACAAAAGCTGAAGAAGCAGTGTGAACTTGATCAGGTAAAAGGTATCACTAGTGATTTTTGAATTAATGAATAGCAATGCTTTCTTTTCAATAAATGAATCTAGTCAACATATTTTGCATATTGAGTTTTGTTATTCCAACTTTAGTACTTCCTCTAGAGTACTGTGCACTAGACCCTTTGGATGTAATTAATATTGATAAAGATCTGATTTCATACCTTTTGAAATTAATTCCTCAAAAATATAAGTTGTCTTAAAGCTCTCTACATGCTCTTGATGTAAAATTGCTGATGTGTTCCTAAGTTCATACTTGTGCCTATTATGAAGCAGTCATATTAATGTTTTGGATTTGGATAGATCCGTGCAGTATATATCTTTTTGCTATAGTCGCATAGTCTGGCATCTATGAGAATAGGCGATTTGTTTCTGGACAGTAAGTTATCCTACAGAAGAAAAAATTAACAATAGGAATGAAAGAGCTTAAAAGGGCTTTAAAAATTAAAACATGTTCCCCTTCCATGAAGTGGCTGGACTTGTCCTGTTTCTCATCATAGCTTAGTTTTCTAAGCAGACTGTATAATCTGAGCCTTTCTCTGTAGATAACATAGGGTGCAGGCCTCTTTAAAAAGGGGAGATGTGCTTGCTTGGCAGCTCCCAGAGCTCTGTTCTATCTCCTAGCTAAGATCTCTAGAGTAGCTTATGGGCTTTGTGTAATTTCTATCTGCACCCAGCCAGTCGGACTTGATTTCATTTTATTTGCATTTAATAATAAACTCTCTTTTCTCAGCTGTTAAATTGTGAATTATCAAACACTATCAAATCCTCCTTTCCATAGTCTGGGTATACTTACTTTGAAATAGACCTACCGGCAACATACTGGTTCTAGGGAAGAGCTGGGCTCTGTGCCATGAATGTCAGGGTGGGGACTGCTCTGATATATTTCTTTGGGGGCTACAAATACCATTTCTGATCCAGTGTGAACACTGGGGAAGGCAGATTGAGCTTTGTTGTGGATTCATTTTTAATTATTAAAACAGGAGAGACCATTGAAGCCTCTTTGAAGTTCTTATTTTATTTTCAGGAAAGGAAGATACAAGTCACGACGTGTGAAGCAAGATAGGTAGTGAGACTCATAAGAAAAAGAGAAACAGACTGATAAAAGGATTTGAAAAAATGAGTGGAACAGTGATTTCAAGGAGAGGAACTACACAAATGAGAACAAAAGACAGGGACTGCCTGTCCGGTAGGAAGCAAGTATTATTTTAAATGATATTTGGAAATAAGTGGGTTTAAAATATCCTCCCTGAGTCACTGCCAGTTGATAAAAATATAAAAGTGTGTTACATCAGCCACTGGGCTTAGAGAAGGTAATGATCAAGGAAAGGATGAGAGATGAGAGGCAGGGGTGCATAGTAATATTTGCCGAGAGATAGTGTCCTCTTCGCATTGACTTTGGGAGGAAAAGCAGATATTGGTCCAGTAAATTAGGGGAGGTGGAATGCAGTGAGGAGTTGGGAGGAAGAAAGAATAAAAAGTCACTCGGTATCAAGCATCAAAGATCTCAGTGTGTGCTTTTGTTTTTGTCTGAAATTGTCCACTCTGGTGATTCCGAAGTAAGCATGATGGGGGGGTGATCTGAATCATGCTGTAATGAGTGAGAACTATAGCAGGCTGGCATCCGTGACACAGAAGCACCAGTACATGTGGAGTGGGAGGACAAGGTGTCATTTTTTCAGGGGAGACCATTACTAAAAGCTTCCTTGGGCCGAAGGTACCCTGAGAGAATCTTTCAGGGGCTGAGGGGCTGCTACCTGATGTAGAATCTGGATGCTGGCCGATGTCATAAGGTTCCTGTTATTTGATTGCCTCTAATCTGATAGATACAGGGTTAGAATAATCTGCCCCAATAAAGATGGAGATAAGGAAAGGAAACAAAAACATTTGCATAATAGGTGTGTTAAATACACGGGTGAAGTTTGAAGCACTAAAATTGGAAGACCCAGATTCATTAATCCTTGAGACATAGCATAATTGGTTCCAACCTAGGAAACATTCATGGAACAGTTCTCCAATGCAAATGGCTAACAAATGCTTGTTACCTTGCTATTCTAAACAAAAGTATAAGTGTATAATCTCATTTATTCTTAATATCAACCTAGCAATATAGCAAAACCTAATTAGAAACACATTTTCCATTCACAACTTTACATTTAATTTATTAATACAGTATTCTCTCCACAGACTTAAACTTTAAGAGCCTGCGACCATAAATTAAAAGGATACCTGCAGTTGGATATCTGAGTGTAGATCTGAAAACAAGAAAATGTATTAAGTGACTTGTCAGAAATGATTCCTAAGAAAAACCAGTAGAGGAGTAGGGGAACGAGTATGGAAAAGAAAGAAACCCACATGAAAGTGCCATTTCCTACAAAATTCCTGCGCGTTAAGGATCTCGAGCCCACAGAGAAGTTTTAAGGGCTGTGTAAAAGTAAATCCTTGATGCTTTAAGAGCTCCAGATTTTAGACAAAACAAACTCGCAGCCTATGAAGATAACCCACTGACAAAGATCTTCAGGTGCTGTGTTGTGAGCAGACTTCACAGGGAGACAGCACAAGTGACAATCGTCAGGGATTGGAGAGAGTCTGAACTGATTCCAGAAAAAGTCTAAGTCTACTTTGGAAGGTATGGGCCTGCTATCCTGAAAAATAGGAATACTGGCTTTTTCTTTTGAAGCTCGGTTCTTGATTTTCTTCCAAATCTCCTGCCTTGTTTCTTTCCAGATTTATAGGACTACTTCCGTTCTCTCAAATGCACTACATCATCATTTATTTCCTTATCTTTGTGCAAGACTCTTTCTAGAATGCCCTTAACCAACCTCTATCCTTTGACTGATTGATGCACCCTTAGTTCATCTTTGAGAATCCTATTCAAACTGTGTTTTCCATGTGATGTTTTCCTTACTGTACTATAAAGAACTGCACTGATTTCACTGGGAACTATGGAATCTTTATTTATGTGTTTATTTTTTATATTCCTACATAAAACATGTCCCATTAAACTGTAAATTTTATTTGTCTATTTACTTTTGTTATGGTTTCTACACTTTTATTTATTTTTCCAAGTCTAAAATCCTCATATCATGTCTTATGCAAAATTTGTACCAGGGAGTATTGCTGAATGTAAACTAAATGTATGTTTTTAAAAAACTGAATAAAGGAAGCACATTGAATTTTTACTTAGAGGGTCCTTTTGCGGGTGTCAAATCCGAGGTCTTAATATAGAAAGCTGCATCCACCCTACTGCACATTTATTCTGTTCATTTTCAGTATAATCCCACCTTTCACCTTTTGTAAGACAACATGCAACAGTAATAATCAGTTGTGGAAATGCTTGCCTCATGAGGCAAGAGCTCCACAGTCTTCTAGTAATAGTTTATTGGGCCTAAATTCCCTTTTACTGTTTTAAATAAAAAATTCCCACAATTAGCAGTAGTTGTATTGATAGTCAGTACTTTCTAGGGTGAGCTGTCAGTAGAGAAAACCAAGAGAAAAATATGTTAATATTATGCTCAAAGTTAGTACTATATACTCCTGGACATTTCATGAACATTTTATCTTGGATGTGTTTTCCTCTTGATTTATTTCCAGGGAAGGGTTTCCTCTTGCTAAATCTTTGTCTATGACTCAAACATGCATTAGAAAATCGTGCAACCAAAATTTTAATGCAGTTTTTGACTTTTTAGTAGTCCAGTAAAATGAGAAAGTAAGAAATAAGTAATTGCCAGAGAGTTTTGTCATCATCAGAGGAATAAAATTTGCAGAATTTGGATGAAGTACAAGTCTGTTTGAGAAGGGAAAAATCATGCATGATCCAGGATAGTAAAAGATGTGACACATAGAAATGTTTGCAGTGCAAATATATCCAGCCTTATTGCAGGTAAAGCAGCCTCTCGGCTTATTAAAAGGTGTCTCCCAGTTCTCCCACACTGACCAGATCCTATATCATCTCTTGGCTGTCCTACCACAGCTGGAAGTTGGCTAGATTTTGGAAGAGACACTAGAAAGCCTGTGTTTGCAGTTTTTTCCTCTATGCCATCTGTTCACAGAATGGATTACAATTGCCTCTAGTTAAAAAGCAGATTGTCTTGGTCCAAGGTCAGGGGAGAAGTCTCAGCAGTCCCTGTGACTGCTAAAAACCCCCTTTCATATCCTTCTGAGACACAATGTAACGTCTGCAATTAGAACCTGGGTCTTTTGACTGGTTTCTTTTGCTTTTGCTTGCAACCTTGTACTGGAAATTTGCAAGTGCACCTCCTCTTTCTCTTGAATGGCCTTATATTTTTTTGTATCTGAATATGCTTTCTATTAGGCAAAGGAAAATAAAATAAAACAAAACCAAACAAGCCTGCTGTCAGTGTCGATTTACCTTTTAATTTGCTTGTGCTTAGGACTTTCATAGCTGTTGTCCCAATGTGTGTTAGAGTTAGTGAAAAGAACTATAATTGCTTTTGCCAGATTAGTTTGGCATCATCTTCAAAGGAAAAATTTGGATGCTTTACTTTGTTTATTGGAGATCAGGAGAAGAGGAAGAGAAAAAACAGTGAAGCTGAAAATTAAAATCATTACCAAATTGTTGGGTGACCACTTTGGAACCGCGGCAAAGAGAAGATGTTCTGTATAATCTATCTGCCTCCTTTTCTCCAGGGCTTTCTGTTGGCATCTAGTAAAAGAATTACTTTGTGTTTCAGAGCACTTAGTTTTATTTCAAAAAAAGGTTTACAAAAGTTGGAAAATTTTTCAGTTATATGTAGCCAATTGTAGAGCAATGTGCCTTTGGATGATAGAGGCAGGTGCTGGTATAAATTGTCCAGAGCTGTAAAATAGCTACAGTAATTCAGAATCAAAAGCTAAATTAAAAAAAAATTGCTCAACATCTTCATGTTTACCTTCAGGAACCAGACCTGGTTCCTGTTTGTTTGTTAAATGCCTTAAAAATAGAATCAATATATGGTTGTTTCTAATGACTGAATTTCTTAGTCAATTTTTTCTCCATACTTCCACAGTATTTGCTTTAATATTTTGTCCTCTTTCTCATTTCTGTTCCCTCTTTAGGTACAAGACCTTGTATTCCTGTTCCTGACATACCAATCCAAATGTGGACGTGTCCCATGTTTTCCCGTTTTTACCTTTTTAAAACAAATTATGAAGGTAGATTTTGTTCATAAACACAGCAAGCCTATATCTACATATCTGTCTGTACATCTATATGTATCTGTAATGTATGAGTGTTCAGTCTCAATTTCTGTGATATTCTTACATTTCTATCGGGAAATCCCAATGTTGTTTCCTTCTCTTTAAAGTGCCCACATTGAAAACCCACCTTTCTGTCTTGTGTGAAAAGTTTAGGAAAACTTCCATTTCTGTTTTACTTTCTGTGTTTTACATTTGGGATTTTTGGACTGTGGTTCTGGAGTGCTTAGACTCATTTACCCAGTCACCCAAACTTTACTGAGCACCCCTCTAATATGAGGCATAGTATGGATCTTCTCTATTTAAATATTAAATATCTAGGGCTGGAGATGTAGCTCAGTTGTAAATCACTGGCCTTGACTGTGCAAGGCCCTGTGTCCAAAGCCAAACACTGGGGAAAAGAAGAAAAAGTTAAATATCTGATAAATCAATCAATTAATTCATTGTAGTAATTCCTCATTTTTAATGCTATCTGCTTAAATTACTTCCTGTCCCTATTCCTTTACTCCTAGGACTTTAACGGCTTAAGTGGTCACTCTGTCTTGAGTTTTATACCTCTCCATCCATTTTCTTTGTAATTTCCTGATTAGATTTTCTATTTAAATTCTTTTTCTGTAAATATTTCATTGTTATCAACCTTATTTAATTACATAAACTTGAAGGAAGAAACTAATAAGGCTGGTGTCCTTGTCCTCCCTCATATGACCTGAAATACACTTTTAAAATGTAATTCTCACTATTTCCATCCCTATTCTATATTTCAGATAAACCTTGTGTTCTAAATATACTCTAGTATTTCTGTATCTTGGCCCGTGTCCTTATTCGACGAGGCAAATCTTACGTGTTCACCTCTCCTTAGCCAAAGTTCCGACCTCCACCTGTCAAAAATCTAGTCATCCTTCAACATCCAATTAAAATATCACTTCTTCCTTTAAGACGTTGCTGATCACATTAGTCAGAGGCTCCAAGATAGAAAATAGAAAATGAAAAATAAGGTGTACCATATGACGGTGCTCGGCATACTGCATGGGATTAGTGGGCAGTAAGACTGGCAACATAGATTATGATCGGATAGTGGGTTACCCCTGAGATAATTGAATTTAAGTTACAAAATACAAAGCCATGGAATTTTTTAATCAGAAGTGGATTTCAAGAAAATTAGTTCTGTAGCGGAGCATAAGATCTCTAATAGAAGACCTTTTCAAGTGGCCATTAACACTTATGATCTATGTCCATGACCCTAACCACTGTGCAGCACTTCCTACTATGTCACTGGCAGCTATTATGTTATAAGAGCTCTCGAGTGTCCAGGCAGATCTGGATTTTAAACCTGCTTCTATTGCTTTGCCAACCTTGTCATCTTGGGCCTCTCTTAAAACCAGTTTCCTCATCAATGAAGTGAGCTTAATAAAAATAAGAATTACCCAAAATTATTTTCAAGACTAAATAAGAACACCTGAAATGGAAGTAGCATAGTCTGTGGTGCATAGTAAACACTCAGTAAATGGGAGCTGTTTGTACCAGGGGTAGTATTAAGATCAATGATAATAACTATTCCTTATTTTATTTCTTTCATTCACCTTTCAAAAGTTTTGTATTTCAAAAATTTCATTATATACATACATACACACAAAAGCTACCAATACTAATCTTTCTTTGCCCGTATAAAATACTACTCTAAGCAGTATGTAAGGCCTTACTGTATTTTAAGGAACTTGCTCTATTCAGTTTCCCATTGATCCTTGGGGTATGTAGTATTAAAGAATAGACAAGCAGCCATACTAAGGACAGGCATTCCTATAAAATTCAGGGAGATTTACAAGAGACTTAGCAATCATGAAGTAATATAACCAGGCAGTTTTATGAATACTTAAATTTGCAAAGACAGGGAGAGAAAAAGGATGGAAAGGCTGGATAGTTTGCACAGCAGTTTTTTTGGACCTGAGATTCAAGTTGCCCCTGGTGAAGTGAGAGTTTATTATATTCCTTGCATCTTTGTGATTGCCCTTAAGCAATGGTAATAAAAAAATAAATTCTTCAATGACAAGGATCTCTCTTACGTTGCTGAAGTCAGTGTGTGTGCACCTCACTCTGCATTCTACAAACCTGTCTCAGCATTGTAACAGTTTAAAGCTTGCAGAAAGATGAACGAGTTGTAATCAACTTTCTCATGCAAACTGAATCCAGAACACAGGAAATAGCCAGGTTTGTCCAACTAATTTGAATTCTTCGTACTTTTAATTTTTCAGGAATAAGTCATAAAAGCATGGTATTTCCCTCTCCTCTTTTTTTCTTTAGTGTGATCTTGTTCCTTCGTCACGAGTTTCTAGTGAAAGTAAAAGGAGTGTGACTCTGACCCTATGACTGAGTAGAGCTCCATCACTTACACATACATACCACTCGACCTAGAATCCAACTTGCTTTAGTGATTTCTCAGTGCCCACCACCTCCATAATTCATTTCCCACATACTGGATGTTTGTTTTGACACAGCTCTGAAAGTGAATGTAAGAGAAAAAAAAGAACGAAGAGCTTTACCCTAGCTATTCATGCTGGACTTCTTTGGGTTAGAAAAAAATATAATTACTCATAAAATAACGCCAAAGAATTATATCTTCTAAAACGCTATTCAAAATTAAGTGTGTTTTCTGTGTGGGTGGACAAGTGGTGACATATAAGAAAATGGGGAAAAAAAAATCACAAAACACCCCCGCAAAGTAGTTACCTTTGCTATGCTTAGATTTGTAGTCTGTTCATATGTACTGAGAACAATCTGTCAGCACTGTTGTGAAAAAACTCACTGATTTGTTAACTCTGTCTATCTGTCTGCCTGCCTGCCTGTCGATCTGTTTAATTTCATTTGTCCTGGTCCTCTTTCACAAATTCGGACTCATTTAGGACATGGGTTAGTACATCTTCGAAAAATTTTAAGGTGATTTTAATACACAGAGTATGGGGAACTAATGACCTAGTGATTCCAGAAGCAAAGATGATTGACGATGAAGATGGATGAAACATAAAAACAATAGAGTTAGAACCTTATCCTGAGTTGAGCAATGAGGTAGGAACAGACTAAGATGCAAAAAAGTCTGGAGAATACTGCTTTTTTTTTTTTCTTTTCTAAATTGCTCGGCATTTAATTTTAATCAGAAGAAAATGGTAGATTACTGTACCATGATGAGAGATGGACCAAATAATTTTCTGTCTGGATTAATGAATTTCTTCCTAAATAAGTGAAATGCACTTGGGCTTCTTTAGCTTTAAAACGTACCTACACATGGCTTGGTCTGAGGTTAGCAGATTTAAATTTCAGCTGAAAGAGGAAAGTGCTAGTTAAGAGTGCAGCTATTAAACACCAATATGCTAACGAGCCAACTATGGCATCTAATCAATGTGTGAAAAATGGGTAATTCTCACTAATGCCCTGCTAAATGTTCTCATAATGATCTGTCAGAGTACTAGAGCTAATTTTGTCATGGCAATTTGGCCCAACTTCCCTGGGATAATCCCAGCATTGATCAAAAAGAAGCACATTGCCAGGGTCTCTTACATTTTTTTTTTAACTGTTTATTTTCACCTGGGGATCCTCTGTGTCATTTTGTGAATGCTTTTCAATAAGAATTAACAGACTATATTTTCCTTTCAATTTCTTGTTTTCCTGGCTTAGGTTTTATCATTTCTGCCTATTTCTTTTTTTCCTTTCATTGCCAAAGTAATGTTACTGTATGGAACTCCAGATCCTGGGATATCTAGCCCTGGTTTTATTGTAAGGTCTCATTTCCTCCATGTCTCCTTTTTTATAGGAATCAAGGAACTAGATAAGTCAAAGTTCATGTTTTGCTTTGAAGCATTAGAATCTGCATTGCTCCTCTGTGTTTGTGCCCATGGAAGCTTCTTTCTCGAGCCAGGGACATACAGCAAACAAAAGCACTAGCAAGTAAGGCTCCTACTATTAGTCAGGGGTGCAGGAAATGAAGCTCACCCGCCATGGAGATTTGGAAGACTGAGGAGAAAGTAGAACCTTTAGATGGGAACACATACATCCTTCCAAGTGCATAGCCAGATAATATACTGCTTTTTCCAAACTTTCTACTAAAGTAGTTATTTTGCAGACGACTCCTCATTTATAATCTCTTAATTACTATAGCATTGTTTTGTGTCAATAGAGCACATAGTGAAGGGCTTAGACCTTTCTCCTCTCGGTTTATAACATCCCTGTGCACACGCTGGGCCATATCATAATTATTTCTCTTTGTTGATGGGATGTGGGAAACAAACTCTCATTTACGGCAGAGAGGATTGCACCGCACAGTCCCTTTTTGAAGTAATTTCTTCTCTTAAGGTTGTTCTTTCTGCTGTGCGTGTTTACCATTTTCAGCAAATGGAACTCAATATAATAAAGGACCTTGGCTTTTTCACAATAGAATTAAGGAAAAAGTGTATATTTTATTCCTCAAATAGATTAAAAACTGTAACAATTTTTTTAAAAGTTGGGATTTAAAAATATATTTAAATATGAATTTGGAGCAACATTTAGCAGACTTCTATATAGAACCATATGGTAAATATCTTAGAATTTATAGACCACAGGTATCCTTGGTCAGATTTGGCCCTGGGCCATAGTTTACTAAGCCCTGTTTTGAAGTTGTGACCTTATTGACTGATCCTAAGACATAGAGGCCAACCAAAACCTAGATGCTTACAACCAGAGAAAGTAATGTATCTCAATGCATGCAGCTCACATATGAGAGGTCTGCAAGTCAACCTAATAACCATTTGAAAAATTGGAGTTTGTCAAAAGTCATGATTTCTACCATAACTAACATGAAATCCTGAACAACAGATTTCTAAATCCTATCCAAAATTTATCAGGATTTGAAGGCTACTGTGTTGATTTCTTCCAGCTTTGGCAATGGATAAGTTTCTGAAAAAAATGTTAAAAATAAAGTTTGTGGAGCGAATACTTTTTCTCCTGTCTTTCC